TTGTTTAATTTGTAATGTATATAAATGTAGGTAGAAAAAAAAACAACAAACAAATGTTTACTCGGAGTAGATAAGTTCACCTATCGTTCGATTCAAACATTCCCCCAGTCTTTTAATCAGGAGTAGAGGTTTATCCCTTCTTTCCTGCTAAAGATTGGGTTTCTGGTTCCTTCTAAATTCTTTTCATTGCCTTTTACTCCCACTATCTCCTTGCATCTTAATGGCATAGTTGCTTGGGTCGAAATGATTAAAAAAATAAAAATAAAAAATAAATAAAAAACAGAAAAAAAATGTTGATAAAGATAGCGAGAGTCACAAAGCAGTGTCAAGGGCCGGCAATTATTCAAGGGTAGTAGGCATTGGTTTAAGATACAAACTCGAACTAAGGTTACCGATTCTATTTCACAACTATCGCACTACTAAAATGTACCTTCAACATATTAATGGTCATGTGGTCTTTCTCTGGGCCGAGTTAGTACGGAATTAACGAACTTAACCCTAGCGTTCTTAACAGGAATACACACTTTTTTTTTTTTTTTTTTTTAAAGCGCATTGAAATTGTATCTTTATTTATTTCCACGTAGATTTTATTAATACTTTAATGCCGTTTTCTCTGAAAAGCAAGGGCGCTTCCCTTCCGATTCGTCTTCAAATTTCTATGTCACATGATACGTCGTGCCAAGATAGATATGGTACGGATAATGGCATGAACTGCAGTTCCCAGATAGGTTACTTAAACCTAAAAGGAGAGAAAATCTTACCCCCGAGTTCTCTGTGTCTTTGTTGTGTGGATTCTCTCTCTCTCTCTCTCTCTCTCTTTCTCTCTCTCTCTCTCTCTCTCTCCAGGATATAAGCGATCATGGCCTCTTGTACCGTGTAACTCTAAGCATATATCTTTGAGATACTGTTCTGTACCCAGTACCAGTGCCGGCAAGATTAAATCATACCCTTGAATTTCCACCCTCACCCAGCACAGGGCTTATTGACAGATTACGTTTATCATTTCTTAAAATATTTTTCTCCGCGGCACGATTATTTGGTTCCAGTTTATTAAATTTGTAGCGATTTACTAAGCGTAGCTTAGATGTGGCATAAGGCCGAAAGTACAACGCACCCAGTGAGGATCTAACTCACTACTCAGTCGTAATTGATCTAACGAGTCAAGCTTACTAAAATTACGCCACTTTGAAGTGACTATAGTGATTAAGCAAAGTTTAGATGTGGCACAAGGCATAAAATAATGGGCATCCAGTGAGAATCTAACTTATTAGTCAGTCATAATTAATCTAGCGAAGTGTTCAGTTTATTAAATTTATTCTCTTACTTCATAAACGGAAAATTCTATTCTAGACGGTGCCTCTATTTAGTACAAAAAAATATTTCCGTGAATTTTTTTTCTCATGGTAAGGTTACTCCCTCTACAAGGCCCGGGGGCAACTTGAGGCAGGGGTTTAAGTTAAGAGGTACTTTATATGGATCGGCGGAGGTGAGATCATTTTTAATGTCAACGAATACTCGTTTTCACTTTCATAATACTCGTTGTAGTAGAGACTTAGTAATCGCAGCTACAACTATAATAACGCCGTTCAACAATACTGGTGTCAGACGCCTTCGAATAACACTCGCACTAATAGTACTTGCTCGAATAATAATGCATATAGTGAGATATTCACTAACCGCCCCACGCGGTCGGATGCAGCACAAGACCAAGTTTATAGTGGGGTATCCGAGCCCGTAGGCTCGCTCAAAGATTTCCCTGAGACCCGTAAAAAAAGGGTCAAAAGCTGTCTCCCGAGACGAGATTCTGCCCTTCGACATAGCCTTGTCTGGGAGTCCTCTCTGAGAACAGAATAGAAGTGCAAATCCGTATCGTAATAGGGCATAGACTAGAAATGGCGATCGTTAGTCGTCTTGATACGTTTTACTTATGCGTTTCATCTATGGTCACGTGATCCACTTAATTCAATAATGGGATCGCCTGTGTTTTATCACTGGCGATCTATGTTCAAATTCAAGTGTTGGCAGCGACATTTTATTCCTACATAACAGATAACTCTAGACTTGAACAGGAAAATTGAAGATTGTAGTGTTCGGGGAAAAATCCTCTTGGAAGTCTGTTCCACAGGGAAGTAGTTCACAGGAAGCTGTGAAACTTACTCCTCGCTGATGGAATACGGAGGTAATGTGGGTGGTTTGCTACAATGTAAGTGGCATGGCGGGTCCTGGCCGTAAAGGTTACACCTGGCAGAACCAAGGAATTTATTTCGTTCGAGCACTTTCCATGGAAGTAGCAGTGAGAGAGAAATTGACGGGTGGAAAATCATTCACCTCCAACAAACAACTCGGAGACGCTTTTGGACTCTGTCAAGACTGAAAAGTGAGGATCAGGCAGCTCCCGCCCCAAATACGTCAACCGTATTCCCCTTTCGGCCATAATCTGGCTCTTATAAAGGCATAGAATAGAATGAGGAGTCAGGTAGCTTACTAGCGCCGTACAGAGAGCCGATCATTTTATCTGCATCTTTAGCGAAGGATCGTATATAGGAGTTCCACTTGAAGTCGGGTGTGTTATTGAGGCCCAGTATCCTCTTAAAGCACGGGAACTCCCAGTGGAGACATCCGTTTATCGTGACTGGCGGTAGTTTGGGGTCTGTTTGGTCAGGTGTGTTGTAATATTCTTGGATCGAAATAAGTTAGCATTAAATTTCATCGCTACGTAATGAGAAAAATATACATTTTTTAACAATAATAAATAAAATAAATGCTAAAAAAATATATATTTTCATGAAATGATCATTTGTACTCTCTTTTCATAACCATGGAGAATACTTTGGGAATTTCAGTCTGAATTTCTGGGATGAGGAGTTACAATTATTTACAGTCGGACTAATATCCTTATCTCTGTTGTTATTATCACAGCTTTTTACTCTTTAGCCTTCTTTCGGTGTCTGTCAATACGAGTCACCTTCAGGGAAGTTCGAACTGAACCCTTTATTCAGGTAGATTTTTCTCATTTTGCTGACCACGTCTATTTGTAAACGGATAAAATATATTAAAAATGAAACAGAGAGACCTTGTCGGTTGAATCGAATAAGTGGGTGTCTATGTAAATCTATTATCACATTTCAAATCTAGAAAGAAAGATAAATCCAAATGAGAGAAGATTTTTAAAAATTATTTTAACCAATTTCAATTTCACTTATTGTACAATATATTAAATTCTGTTCTTTTTTGTCAAATTTTTCTTTTCTTCTGTTTTGTGTTTCAGATGTAACGGTTATTTTGTGTTGCAGCCTGAATTATTTAGAACAGACAAGGAAGAACTCTAGAAATATGTGTGTGTGTCTGTGTGTGTGGACACTGAAGTCACCACCCTGCGACGAAGGTCCGTTTCATGCTGAAACGCAATCGTCGGGCCAACTGCTTTGTGTTTTGACTCTAAGTTTTCTTCGTGAGTGTGGAGTGGGCCAAGTATTTTTCATCAACTCATCGTGTGTGTGTGTGCGTGCGTGTGTGTGTGTATGTGTGTGTGAATACGTAAAATAATCAATCTGAAATAGCTTCGGGACAAATAAATGTTCATTGTCCCAAAATAGGCAAAATGAGTAAATACAACGATATGAATAAATGGGGTGGGCCACAAATTTTTCAGCAACACATCATGTGTTTCTGTGTGTGTGTGTGTGTGGGAGGGACATACAAACACACGTATACATTTGGTTAACCTTTTAAAATAATTTTGTCATTTACTATTAGGTTATTTTCCATAAATTTTATTAGGGAAACAAACAATATCAAATACTAAAAAACAAAACAAGAAATGGCAAATCACTGAATTTGTTTGAAATATTTGGTACCACTGTAATAATAAAACGCTCATTTCGTTCTATGGAGAAAATTCCAGCGATAAAAAAAAAATTATAACGGAGTTCAAGATGCCGGTAAAAATAACCCAAATTTGTGCTAAGTTCGTATTGCCAAATATTGGCATGCTTTCTTGGTTTTTATTCCATATCTCTGGGGGCGGCGTGAAGTCGAATAGATACACGATTACCTTGTAGAATCAGGTGCACTCTCCACTGAAATCTGGAATCTAAATTTAACAACTCGAGGAGGAGAAACACGAAGATGTTTCTGTAATATAAGACAATTCTTCTGAGAATTAGCGCAGTGTTGCCTTCATAGGATTCAATTTCAAAATAGTTGGGATCCATTTTTAAATTTTTTTATTTTCTAAAATAAAATATTTTAAGATTAAACTGTTAATTCAATAAACAATAAAAAATGAAATATTTTTGAAAAAAAACTTATTATAAATAGATCATGTTTATTTCTTTTCATGCGTTCTGATTATTTTAATAAATATAATAAAACATATAATAGATTTTATCCCAATAATATTCACATGGAGGCACGTTGGAGTATATCAGCTCGGATTGATTAATCAGAGAGCCGAGTTCGAATTCCAGTCGAATCCATTATATTCACTTTGGAAGGTATGAATCCACTTCTTCTCCCCAGAGCTATGGGTAAATAGCAGCACAGACCGGGTTCTATATCTTTTCATGGCAACTGGTCTACTGCAAGAAATGGCAACCTACTGACTCCTCCGTGATGTATCGAAAGATACATGATCGCCTAAGCGTATATCACGCATGGCACATAACTGACTAATTATTTACATAAATTCCTAAGCACTGATAATCCCTTTCCACCAGATGATCAGTATTGATTATTTCATTTTCTACAGCTTATCAACCCTTTGCAGGTTATTTAAAGCCAGAAAAATATTTTTAGATTGTGAGAATTTTTTTGGAGATAATACTGATTTTAGGGATACAAGTCTAAACTAATTAAGTGGACGGAGAAAAGGTGGATTCATGCCTTTTGAAAGGGTATTTACGTGGAAGTGAATACAACAAACCCAACTGGAATTGGAACTCGGCTCTCCGATTAACAATTGCGAGCCATTATTTATTACTCCACACGTACATTCAACCTTACAGTATCTGGTATTACCAAGCAGTCACCCATCTTAGTACTGACCAGGCTCGATGTTGCTTGACTTCGGTGATCCAGATGATCAGAAGCTTTCATA